TATTAGATAAATATTAAATATTGCCACTTCCTATACGTTATCGGCTTGTCGCTACACGGTAGATATGTCACAGATGTATAAAATAACCAGACATTATGTATGATTTCAAGTGCATATTATACTAATATAGTGATTAGTGATATACCTCTCTAGAAAATTAATTTTAACGAGTTGTTTTGCACAATATTTAATACCGGTAATCGGTTTTTTCAACAAAAATATATCGTTCATCATTAAAACAAAATATGTTAAATATTTTAAGGAAATTTTCTCATTTTGTTGTATTTATTTACTTCCGATTAATATTAAATATTAAAAATTACATTAAAATAATTAACATTACTTAAAAAACATTTTCCAGAATTGTACCTACTATAATAACAATCCTAGTCCTAATAATAACGATTAAAAAAATGTATAAACAAATATTGAACTATTTGGCGGCCCCCGAAAAATATTGCAAAAAAATGTGGAACGCTTCACGATTTTGCGTGTCATCCTTGCGCAGGGGCCATGCTAATCTTCTCTGTATCGTTCCAATTTTAGTATATGTACTGCCGAAGCAAGTACACAGGCTACTGTCGTTTCACCGGTATATATACTATGCACTCTCATAAGGTCGTCACTAGTGAGAACGAGTCACATTTGTTCGGTGAATACCGGATTAGCCCGATGAACGCACCGCGTTTACCGACTCTCGCCGGTAGATGGCAGCACTATGATATTTTCTTCACTCCGGTTTTAAGAGGACGCTAAACCAGCGAAAATACCGTACAAAAACATGCCAATTTTGTTCCAATAATACGGCTTACTGGATGGTTTTAGAGCAAAATACCTTGATTAAAAATTGTAGAGGAGAGTTATATCGGGTGACGTATAAGACTCGATTTTTTATATTTTGATTTTTATACCAATTATTCACAAGTAAAAAGTGAAAAAAAAGAGAAAACGCAAAACGATTTTATCGATATTGAGAATAAAATATCGAAAATCGAGTCTTATACGTCACCCGATATAGCTCTCCTCTACAACTTTTAATAAAGGTATTTTGCTCTAAAACCATTCTGTAAGCCGTATTATTGGAAGAAAATTGGTATGTTTTACTGTAAAAAAATTATAATTACGGCCGTCATGTGCTGCTCTCGTTTCTAGTGGCAAAGTTTGTCCCCTCCTAGCTCCGACAGTTTGCTCCTTCCTATGTAAGGAAATAATTATTTTACAAATAATTAAAAATTTTGAATCTTTTGAAAAATTCATAGACTATCTAGTATCTAGGTCCAACAACTACAACTTAATGCTTACCCAAAAATATAAAAAACATTTATTGTATACTGATGGAAATTGTATAACAACACTGCATCTGGAATAAAAATTAAATTAGATTTGGCTTTTTTCAGTACCTACTACCTACTCGAATGAAGAATTATATTCTTACAGTTGCATTTTTATGTATTTGTATTAGTAATAAATATGCTATATTCATATATAGATTGTCGTCTGTTGAATTAATTAATTATTCCTAATATTATGCTATTTTAAATCTCCACCTTCACAAAAAGCGTATATATTTTATACATTTTATTATAATATATCTTTTTTTCCATTCTAAACTTTCATCATCAAGTAAAAATGAATGTATTTCTCTGAACAATTAAAAAAAAGTGTATGTAGTTATGCCCTGATAATTACCAAAATATTCTTTAAAAAACAAAACAATAAGTTGATTCTAATAAATTAATTAAAATTAAAACGAGATTATTTATATTTAATATTTTAAACTTCAAATTTTTTAAATTATTGATAAACAAAGGGTATGGCATTTCAGTAGGTATTTGAATTTCTATTCATCTGAAAACCAAACAAAACTATTTGGTATTGGTAAACACTGCTTTACAGCTACCTATTAAATGTATTATTTTTTTTTTAAACGTCTTAGAAATGTACGAAATTCTAAATATTATAATAATATGATCTAAACCCGTAAAAAATTCTAAATTAATCCTTTAGAATTTCAAAAATATACAAATAGCTATTTTTATACAAACAATTTCTTGAATAACAGATAACAACAGTCAATATAATATTAGTTGTTGACATAATAATTATAAATATTATGTTGATTTTACTATTAGGTTATTCGTAACTATATGATTATTGTTCTGAAGTAGTGAAGTTACTGTAGTCTGTAGGTAAGAGTTAAAAAAAGAAAACGTACGTCGAATAACTGCGATATACTTACCTACTGCGTGTTTCTGCCAGTTCTATTTTATGCAAAAAAATACTAAATAAGTATACGACTTATACGAGTACACCAATACCTAATTAATCAAAAATAGAAAATTTCAAACTTCGGAAGGTACGATATAACTTCCAGCATAATGATTGTGGTAATTTTTTTTTGCGTCATCGACCTTTACAAAAAAAAGCTTGCCGAGTCAGATATCCGTACCTTTGTAAACTTTCTTCATTTTTAATTTTTAGAAATTTATTAACTGTACGTAGGTACCTATGTAATATGTACAGAGGCGGAGTGGCTCAACAATTCTCACCGGACAAACAGATATTTTCAGGCCACATAAATTTATTTCAGGCCATTTTTTTCAAATTTAATTTCTTACCATTTATTGTCTTATTGTTAGATGTGTGTTTACCATTTTTTGATTGGGTGAACTATAAAACAATTTAATAATATTGGTGGTTCACATATCACATTATTAATTTGTTTTCGTTGTTTTTACAGTCATTAAAAATAGCTAAATATTTTAAACATTAATTATTTTCATCACACCAGGACCAGGCCACTTCTTATATAAGCAAGCCATGCCACCGGGCATTTTCCCGGTTGCCCGGCTGGCCACTCCGCCCCTGAATATGTATGTATTTTATTACAATATGATTAAACCAAAATAATAAATTGTGCTTTAAGGAAATTATTAATTGCAAATTAATTTATTGAGAAGATATTAGATTACCTATAGTTATAGTAGAATATTGAAGGTTGAATTCTGTAAGTATATGACTGGTTAGAATTTAAGTGGTATTAAAGTCATTTCACTTGTTTTATTTATTAAACTTGATAACGAATGGTGTAACTAATCCTAATGGCAATATGAATATTTTCTGATATCACTCTACAAGGCCCCAAACAACATAATCGTTTCTCCGGTTTTCGGAAATCTACTCCGCTGAATGAAAAGGACTCTTTAACTCATTAAATGTGACCATTATTTTAAAAATATTTTATTTCACATTTTGTATCTACTTAAACTAGATAATCCTTTTTTAATAAGCTATCAACCAACTTTTCAGCCATCATAATTTAGGAGAAAAGTTAAAAAATAAAAATAAAATTTGGGACTTTTCACGTCGACGTTTTTGTGGATTCAAATCGTACTACTTGGGTGTGAGTGTGTGACAACGGATCTCTCTCATTGATATTTTGTAGCTATAGATATTCGTATATTATATTATCGTATGATCTGATCATTATTATTATTGCAAAAAATGTTTATATTTCTATCACTGTGTATTATTCATGGTATACTATAATATTATAGTGTATTGTATATTTGTATGTACATATAATATATTATATAATGTATATATATATATATATATTCTTATAAATCTTAAATCTTAATTCTTATTTCTTAATTATATAGCAACATAAATGTACCTATTTGCAATATACAATTGAACGCTACTCATTAAATGTAGAGTAAATTAATTAGGTATAAAATCCAATTAAGTATTAATGGTCAGTTATAAATATAGTTTAGGTAGGTAATTGTATTTGGCATGATAAACCAAAGATATTCCAATCATACGGTCATACGGATAGACGATAATATAAGTAACACCACTACTTTTGTAATTATTTCATAATGTAAGCACTACGAAGATTATAGCTTGATTACCAACTGGTTATTACTGAATACTGAGTTGCATTTTTTTATTATTCTGAAAGTTTTCAAAATTCGGACTTTTTTCATTTCAATTACCATACTTACTTGATTAAAGACCAAAACAGTAAGAATCTGAAAAACATATGACTATATGAGGTACCTAACTAAAAAGAACTCATTTCTATATTAAAAATACAAGTAGATATTATTTAATTCAAATAATGAAATTTTTTACCGTTTCCTCGCCAACGACCATACCACGTTGAGTACACCAGTTCTCGTCCGATCACTGAAGTTAAGCAACGTCGGGCGTAGTTAGTACTTGGATGGGTGACCGCTTGGGAACACTACGTGCCGTTGGCATTTTTTTTACTTTTTTGATTACATTATTGTTTTATAATTTTATATAGGTATCAACTATATCCCTATTCCCTACACTACACGGTTATAATCGTGATAGGTATTTATCAATTTATAATTTTTATTTTTAACACTGGACATCCTCCCCTTTTTTTGCCACCAATAAGAGGAAAATTTTATTAGTGGCCTGGGGTGCGAAATTTCTAATTACGGATTTGGTTGTCACAAGACGCATTAATTTTGCAGCTCAAATGATTAAAATGATTATTATTCTTATAAATATTTATTTTTTAAAGTTTCTGCTATACAAGTATACAATTTAAAAATAAAATTATAAAAATGTTCACTTTACCACTTTTTGAATGATGACGACTATTTGTTATTTGTAAGGTCCACACAATTGAGGTATTAATATATTTTGTTTTAGTATAACTTGATATTCCTATCACTGTTGACAAAGTTATAGATATTTTGTTAAAAAGAAAAATTGAGTTTTTTGATTTCATTATTTCTCAACATAGTGACACATTATAGTTTATTCTAATTTTATTTTGCACAACTACCTAAATAATTTTTTAACAATAAAGTCAACTATTGGTACATTATATTAAGTAGTTTACAATTGAGATAATAAAAAAATTCATATTAATAATAACTTAAATATTAAACATAATTAACCACTGAAGTATAGTATAAAAATAGGTACATATATTTAATATTATAAAATTCAAAAAGAAAATAATTCAACAAAAACATTATTTTTTATAAATTAACAAAATTCTATAAAATATGTGATTAATTACTACAAATTGAAATTTAACAGGCATTATTCAACTTTAAAGGTTAGACTGAGCAGTGAGCAGTTATATCAAAAATTAAGTTTGACAAATTTGGATACTCTTTTTTAATGCCTGAGTCGTTCAATACTTTGTTGACTCTGAAACAATTAACAAGTATAAAAAAATTATTAAAATTACCTTTTCATACTATTTACCCTAATTTAATTAAACGATTTGATAACAATCTTTTTTTATTGAGATGATCTAAAAGTTTTCCAGCATAATTTCTTATATTTTGATTTTCTTCAAGGGCTACAAGAATCAATGATACAACAAAAGATACTGGATCATAGCAAATCCAAGTATTTTTCATTTCTAATAACTGTATAACTTCCTGTGGGTATAGAAATGACATAGATACTTGACATAAAAAATTATTTTACAATAGGCGGTATCGATTGATACATACATTAGTTTTTTTCTTGTTGACAAAATCGAAAAGAACATCATAACATTCATCAAAAATCCATTCTGCCATTATCTTATATGATTTTAATCTATACACACTTTTCATTTGTAATGGTAATTTACTGAAGTCAAAATAATTGTTTTCTACAAACTCAACAGACTCTGCAAATACAATAACAAAATATTATAATCATTAAATTAATTAAGTGTTGATGGCTTAATAATTTTTAAACAACTAAATGTTTATACATACAAAATGTTAATCAGTAGATTTTATATTATAAATTATTATTTAAAAATGCAGTCATACATTTTCATATTATTTTTATTATTTGTGTCATAGTAAAATGTTATAACAGTTTGAATTTTTTTTTTTTGCTATTTATAGACATACAATTTTAAACTGTTGTATAATTTTTTTGAACTCAACTGTTTTTTCTTTGAAGGTGATACAATTTGTAAATTCAATACAAAGTTATTCTTACAATTATAAAATATTGAAAAATAATTAAGTATTCAAATTCATGAATTTATTGTATTAAATGTACACAATTCATTTTTGGAAATCACAAAAATGTGTAAATAATTTTTAGTTCAAAGTGGCCTTAAAATGTAATACTGGGTTACTATGCCTTTGTTTTACATAAATCTCTAAATTACATAAACATAAAGTGCACATGGTGTTTTCATAGACTTCAAGTTTGAATTTTGACATTTAATATACTAACTTACATTGTATCAAACATTAAAATTGTTATGAGAGTTATGACTTATGAGTGTATGAATGATACAATTTAAAAATGTAATTAAAATATTGTAGAGCACAGTTAATATTCTTAACTTTAAGTGTAAAAGGTCAATTCTCTTTAAAACTAAAGCTAACAATACAAGGTTGGTTCTGCTGAACTCTAATTTGCTGTTGCATGTGAGTCAGATACAAAAAAATAGTGTACTGACATCCTCTAAATAACAGGAAATATGGAAATACTACACAATATAATAATATTGTACTATTATGATAGTAAACTAGTTAATATTATAACATTTTAAAATATCCATACAAATTTAGGCAGACAGATTAACTATCTATTTCCACTAAGAATCATTTTTCATATGCAATGATTAATTACGTACCAATTAGGGACTAATGAAAAGGTACGCACAACACTTATATACCAAAGCAATTTTTAAAATCATTCTAAAACTAAAAATAATTACCCTCATTTATCCAACCCTTAGAATGCATTCTTTGTACTCGAAGTATTAAACATTTTAGTGCCGATGACATGTCATGGTTATCTAAAGACGTTACAAGCTTATTTATTGGTATGTTCAAATCATATGTCTAGAAAAAAAAATTAAACATATTAAGCAATTTTTTATAGCAATTTATTATAGTTACTTTTGATAATATTGGTCCTGCTAATTGTAGTATTATACATAAACAATACAATTGTATTTCATTTTTTTCATTACTTAATTGCTCGCATAATTGTGTAATGCATGACAATATAACTTTTTTTGGAAAAGCACCTTTTCTAAACAGTTCTCCCATAAATCTATCAAAAATAATACATTAAATCAAAAAATGAAAAGTTAATTAATTAATATTAATTCAAAACTCACCTACAATTGCACATAGATGTTTTATTAAAATCAAACTGAAAATGATTCAGAGAGGTTATAAACTTATTTGGTGCCTGGTAAACAAAAAAGGTATAATAAGTATTATTGAACTCAACCTTGAAAAATGAGTAAACCTATTTTGAATTCAAAATTACATTTAATTTCTTACAGAGATTAGGAATAAAACAAAACATATGAAGTTATTCAATCATGTTAAGAAACCATGGATAATAACTACAAGTAATTCATAATGATAACATAACTATTTACCACATTATTGTTCTTCATCTTCTCTATAAATTTATCTAACTCTTGTTGATAATTGGTCAAAGTATAAAATACATTTTCACATTTTTCTAATAGAACTTTTTGAAATGTAGTCTTAGTATTTGTAACCGGTTTATTAAACTTAGAGTCGTTAATCATAGCTGCACACATATGGGCATATATATGTGTACAATTTTGTCTCCGTAAAGCCTAGATGGACATAATGATAATCAAATAAATAAAATAAAAATAATGATATAAAAATTAAATTAGATTAGAATAGTTAATGATATTATTGTTATATACATACTCGATCAAATATTATATCTGATATTTCTTCGAGTAGTTTAACATTATTTATTCGCAAAGCAATCATTTTCTGTATCATATTAGCTAAGTTGACTTTATTTAAATGATGCACAATCGATCTTACAATATTTAACACTTCCTAAGATAATGCAAATTGTAAAATATATTATAGATTAAAATATATAAATATTATACATAGGGATTAAATAACACTTTATTGCATGAATAATAAATAAAAACTATTCTATCTCTATTAGTCTTCGTTAGTACAAGAAAAATGAACAATAACTATTTTTTCTATATGTTGTGTACATGATGTTTTTGTTCATCCAGACAGAATATAGTAGAAAAGAGAAATATTCCTATAATATAATTGTAGTGTTGATTATTGTTTCTGTAAGGTCAGAGTGTTAGATTGAATATATAAATATGTAATTAAAATAATGAACAATTTCACTCATTCAACATAATTACAACAAAGAAGCATTTAAGTCTTATACGTTATTTAACGTGTAACATCGAATATTTGAATACTTACAACAGAGTTATTTATTTGTTCCATAATGATTTATTCAATTGTATCAACTATACAAACAATCAACTGAAAATAAAATAAAATAAATCATAAGAAAAAAAAACAGATTTCAATTTAATGCAACATTTTATTTATAAGCTGATTAAAATAAAACTCAAATATGTTAAATAAAAAATGTAACTAAGGATACCTATTTAATTAATTACTATTTTGTCTATGTACTATCATAGTCCTAACTAGTTACTTGACTTTTCATAATGTCTTGGATTTTTATTATTATTATAATTATTATAACACTACCATCAAAGATATTACATTTTTCAAACATTGAATTGGACACACAAGTTACTTAGTTACAAGAACATATAACAAAACTAATAAAATACATTTTACACGCGTGATGGACTGCTGAAAAATAAATATTTATGTTAGCCATATGCATAATATTTTTTAAATGTTTTTAAAGAAAATCAAAATTTTTTTCATTAATTGAAGTATAAAGTATTTTTAAGGGAAATTTATCTTATTGTTCTATTAGTAAACAGAGTACAAAAAAATCAAGAATGCTTATCCATGAATATAGTTAGACATAGTTTGACTCCAGATAATTTTTTGGTAATATTATTAGCAATTTTAGGTTTGCAAGTGTTGTTTGAAACACTGACTGACAAGTGACAGGAATAAAGTGACGTAATTGGCCTTCATAGATCTAGAAAAGGCCTTTGACAAAATTAATTGAAATAAAATGCTTCTCACAATCCAAGAAATAGGTGTTGTACAATATGATCAAAGAATCATTCAGAGTCTTTATAAAAATCATATAGCTTGCATAATAAAAGCTCAAATTAAAAAAAGAGTTTGACTAGGGTGTACATTATACGTTATCATCCCCGCTTTTTAATTTCTACATCGAAAAAATTAGTGAAAGAAAAGCCAATACGATTTAACATTGGAATTAAAATTGGCAGAGAAACTGCTTCAATGATTCGGTTTGCAAATGATGATGTGGTGATGACAAAGAGTGAATGAGACATACAGTGTGCAGTTAATGAAATAAATTAAATGCTCGGAGCAGAAATAAAAATAAACAGAGTGAAATTGAAGATCCTAGTCTATGCCAGAGACCCAACAATTTTAGCTTATATATATATATTATATAGTTAAAAGCTATAGTAAGTAGAAGAAATGGTATGTCTAGGGAGCAAAATCACATCTTATGGCAAGAGCATTAGAGAGCTAGAACAAAGTATCAACAAAAATTGCCCCTTAGTAAAAAGCATAAATTGTTCACTTCAAAAAAATAACATCTCAATGTTGAGAAAAGACTTATTAAAACATATGTATGGAGTGTTGCAACACATGGATGTAAAATATGGATGATTAATGATGGCGTAAAGAAAAAAACCAGAATCCTATGAGATGTGGTGCTGGAAAGGAAAGTTGGATAGACAGAAAAACAAACAATTAGACTGATAAAAGGCACTTAGAACTGTGGAAGAAAAACATACATTTGTAGATGCGATTAGAGTAAGACCCTGGACAATAGCTGCATGCACTGAGACACCCAGAAGTGATGTACAATATAGTATTAGAGGGTAGGATTTAGGGGAAGAGAATTGCAGGAAGTCATAGATGACATATGATCCTTAAATAGGACAAATTAAATGTGATGCTAGAGTCAAAACTTTTAAAGAGCATAAAACAAAAGAGATCAATCGGTCAGATTGGAGGACTGGAACTGTAAACCAACCTCTGAGTTGAAAAAAAAATTGTCATCATAGGGTAAAATAAAGATGGTGCTTACCTTATTACTTCTGTGATAAATTACAAATTGTAGTCAAAAATAAGTATAATGTAATACAAGTTACCTACAGTGATACTATTTATAATTTAATTGATTTAAACTAGATAATATTATTATTAAGCCATAGTTAAAGTAACTGACTAAAAAATTTTAGATTCACAGATCCAATAAAATTATTTAACTAATTTAATCTATAGTAGCAATGTTCACAACTTACTACTTAGTAGTTAGTACAAATGTACAAATGTACAATAATTATTATAGTAGGTACAATTTAAAATATGTTAGGTAGATACATTGTAATTGTATGAAAATATAATAATATGCTAAAGTCCATTATTATTTATAACATAATTGGGCTAAAAAGGAATACATAACTTTATATTATCTATAAAATTTCAATTATTGTCACATAAAATAAATACATCTTACCTGTGGTTATTTATGTATAGAGTATTAATTGGTTCTTCAAAATGTAGTTTATAATCCTCAGTTGACATATATAAATCAATTAAAACAAACGTTACAGCTCAATATTGACAACTGAAAAATTTGTATTATGTATAATATATTTAGATATAATAGTAGTTGTTAATAACACACCAAGTAATCATTAAAATTACCTAGGTACCTACTACAATATACATAATACTAATGCAGGCCAAATGTTAAATTATAAAATATAAGTCATAACAATTTTTACAATAGCCAACAGCAGTACAGCACACTGGGTAGATGCACCATTTACGTCAACTATCTTCTATAGTTACCTACTAGGTATAGTTACTAGTTAGGAACTAACACTGAACAGTTAACTATAGTTAATATACTACTTTCTCCATCAATCTGGTACACTCGTGTATCGATGCAGTATTTTGTGTACTGTGTATACACTACAAGTCGACTGTTCGATAATTAATGAATAAGTACCTACTGTATCGAATTGTTATGAGTGCAATGTATACAATACGGTATAATACTAAAGAAAAAACATAAAATAATGATCGGTTAGCCTTAGCATGACAAAAAATTAAAAGAAATAAAAATCTGTAATCATGAATCATGATAGACTTTGTTTTGATATTAATTATATATTTATCAGTTGCCCATGGGATAAACCAATAACCATAAACATAATAGATTGTTCTATGATAATAGTAATATAATATATTATTATGTTTTTTACTTATACCTATAAATAAATAATATCTAATAATATTATTATGATGTCAATGGGGTAAACGCCGAAAATGTGATAACAAGTCTGTTAATGATAAAATAACAAACCATAGGTACTTCATACTATTTTATACATAGACGTATAATATTATATTATACGTCTATGATTTTATAATATTTACCATTATCACATAAGTAAATATTTATTATAAGTTTTTAAGAAACTTAGGGTTTAGCGGCATGAATTTGGATTTAAGACACGTATAGCTACCACGCCTACCAGCTACTAATTACATGGTAGGAGGTGGGAGGGGCTAAGCCTTCCAAAATATAAAATTAGCACATCAAAATTCACACAGTTGCACTGTACTTATTTTGAATATGAGCACGAAATACTATAAACATATTTTTTTTAGAATAACCATATTTTTATAATTTATCATAATATATATAATAAATAATCAAATCCAACCTATACGACTTTACAGGATGATTCACTAAGCATGCTAACCTCCAAGGCCGAATTTGACGGAGGTTTTTAAGGGCACTTTCCCCGGGCAACAGATGTTTGGGGGACATCCGGATGCCGGAATACTGTAAAAATTCTTTTAAATTTTTTGACCTCCGGCTTAGGAAATGTATGAAAAACATATCAACTTACTTCAAAAAATACTATAATTCAGTATACTATAGTCTATAATGATTCATACTACCAACTGTTCTGATTTTATATCTATATTACTATATCTATTAACTTTTGTCTTGAGCTCCATGCATATGTATAGAGTATAGACCTATAAAAGTATAATCTACTACACCCGCATGTGTTGTCTCCGTCTTACAAAATTTTAATGTACAACATGCCCAAAACTGTTTCGCGCGGGAATGAACCGAAAAGGCTATATTAATATAACTTATAACTAAGAAACCAAATTTTCACCATAGATAGAGGAGAATTTTAACTGTGTTGTAACCTTTTTATTTTTTCGATAACACCAATGTATCAAAAGTTATTTAAGTTTGGAAAACGTAAAAATAATAGGTTTTTTAAAGTATTATAACTTTTTTTCGATTAATGATATTAATCAAATAAAAAGACTACGATGCAGAAAATATTATCTTCTACTTTGTGTACATTTTTGGTGTTTCTTTCTACTAAAACTACAGATCGAGTGGTTCCATCCCGAGCAAAACAGTTTTTGCTATGTTGTACATTTGTAAGACAGAGAACACATGTGGGTGTAGCCGTTATTTTGAACTAACTTATATGTTTATGGCTCCGCGTATACACATAATAGTACCAACTGCATATTATGGCGTGTATGCCTACTAAAAAAGTTTACATTTTTATTAATACAAATATATCACTTATTTAAATAAGTTCATATCACTTGCATATAATTTTTTTAAGATTGGTACAAATCAGCGACAACAGGACTACATTAAAAATTGTTACAAAAACAATATTTTTCAAAACCATTAACAACTTTCATAATCTAAAATAATGAAAACTTTTTACATATATTTAAAACGATTTTGAAACAATGTTGAATGTATACATGTGTTTATGTTAGCATAATAATTTTCTCTACTTATTAATTATTATAGGTAACACATGGGCGTCCCCAGACATTTTTCTAGGTGGAGGGAAAGGTAATTTAAAATGGACAACGGACATAGTAATACCAGGAGGGGTAGTGCCAAGTCTTGCACCCTCCCCTGGGGACGCCTAAGCCTAGTTTTAACTATATGAACCGATCGTACTATCGTAGTATGGGATTATGTACAAATAATAGAAGGTACTACAAAAAGTTATCTTAGTAACTTAGGTTCTATTACAAATGTACACTATACAGTACGGTGACTGGTGGGCATGTAAACAGATTATCATTTATCTTAACTATCTATAGGTATCTTTTACCAGTGACAATACAACGATGACTACGATGTACCAGTTTACAACGAACATGCAGACTTAGACTTAATATTATCATACTTCTTTTGATCAAATCAACTTTTTTTTTATTTTACACTAACAAAAACTTACGACTTACGAGGAACCTTGTATTACATTTTCAAGTTTTTTGACCCAGTGAAAACTTCTATTATTACCATTTTACAATCCTCGTTGTTTCAAAATAAATTGACCACGTGATATCCTCTCCGTGTAATTAAAAAAAAATATATATCTCGAATTAATTTTGAAGTAGTTTCACTAGACCCTCTATATTCTGTCACACCGCCACGTCTTGTTATTTTTAACAGCACATTTGCTTATTACCTATATATTATTTTTATTTTTAATAAAAGTAAATTAAAACGTTATTGTAGTCTTACAAAATAAATAACATTTTCAGGTGTAGTGCTCGCAATTGCGGTTTAGAGTTCGAAAACGTATTGCTATTATTACAGCCTGTTTCGATTTGTTTGTGCTAAAGATGTTTCTAAATAGTTATTTAGGTAGCTGTCAGTTTCAGTCTTTAACTTAAACAGCACGACAATTAAATAAAATGTACATAATATAAGGGGATAATATTACATAATAACTTATAAATAAAGCTATATTTATAACATGATAGCAAGTATACAATAATAAGATTAAGATTGTTTGTACAATATCAAAATATATAAATAAAATAATGAATAATTGAATAATGAGGGAAATATTAGGTATAGAGATAAGCGTTTATGTAAATAATGTAATATCTCAGTTAAGAGGGAAATTCGGGGGGAAATTAGTTGATTACCAAATTTAGAAACTTGATGTTAAATTATAATTTCCAGTCAGCGCTAAGCATATCACTTAATAATATATTTGAGTAGAGATCTGTCGCCCTGTAGCTTACAAGAGCTATTTCTTTTTGTGTCCAACTTTTCATAAGCTTTAACACATGCTTGAAAATTTTTTTTTTATACTTCGTTGATCGTTTGTATAAGACACACTGATGCGCAAAAAAAAAAATGGTCAACAAATTTTGTTAGCAGACATCACGAATCCCGATGACATTTTTCAACTGTCAAATAGTCAATCACAAGTACCGACCCGTAACACCCTAAGACTGACGCCAATCATCATTTAATTCAGTTTGAACTAATATCTTTAAGCTGCTTAACAATGGTTGCAGTTAAGACACATAATGGCACCTGAATAATTTAACTTACAAAACTATTATTTCTAGACCAATTTATTTTAGGTTTCTCTGGTACCTAAATTAATCATTTAAATGTTAGTGTCAAAGCAAATTATGTGCTACCTACTATAAAATGGACATTTTTTTAGTATTGGGCCGTTTAATTTTCTAAATATTTATTTGATTCTTCAATAACAGTTATTAAATATTAGAATAAAACTAAATGGATTTTTTTGTGGGTTAAGCTGTTCTGGCAGTGCGCCTAGATTGTAGCGTAGTCAAAAGGGAATTTTGGATCGAAAGCCGTTCGTCTATAGGGGACGGGAAAGGCGTGGACTATAATAAATATATATTGTATAACGGTACGTCGCCCATTTTAGCTACAAGTGGTGGTGGACAAAATCCGTTTCTGCTGGTGAACAAATTAAAGTCACTAAACTTACAGAGACCAACACGTCATCACAACCACTTAAACATCATACATCGGGTACCTCTGGGAAAACTTCAAAGTCGACGTCATACACGTTTACAATATTATTATTATTCTCATCATCATCAACCCTTGCGGCGTTTCACCGCACGTCGTCGGACTACAGCTGAAAAACCCGCGAACTCCACGTGGGGAAATCCCTCCCCGACCGGCAGCCGCACATAACGTAAGTACAAAATAGGTATGTGTTGGTACGCGTCCAATTATCCCACGAGACCACGGTAAGCGGTAACGGCCGACCACGACCGCGACGACCACGCGCACCTACCCGGGACGTCAGCTGCCGCCTTGAAGGCGGGGGGAGGCAGGGACGCGAGCGACGGCGGCGGCGTGTGTGCGATCCGGGGGCCGGCCGGCCGGCCAACCGTCCGCGGTCTGCGAAGCGGTGCGCGCCAGACCTATCGTTCAGCGTTCAGTCGTCGACTTGCCGCCGCCGCCGACGATCGTGTAGGTAATTTTTGGCCGCGTGTCGCCGGCGTTTTCGCGTCGCACAGTTTCGTAACACGTTCGACGACAATATAACTCTCTGCTCGTTGAAAGCCGTCTGACAATTATATAAGGATCGATAGATCGTGTTGTGGTTGTGTTACCTGCTGCCGCCGCGTCATGTCGTCGTCGAAGCAACCACGCCGAAGATTCGTCATCGGTCTGTTTCTGATCGCCGCTGTCGTTCAGGTGCTGTACCGCCCCGCCCAGTGTTCGTCGCTGATCAAATATTTGTCAACCGAGTACAATTTGTCCACTGTGAGTATACTTACCTGAGTATTAAAGTGCTATTATAGCGTATTAGCATTACGCCGTCGATTCAACCATCAAGGCCCCCTTCCCCAATCATCCCCAATCATCACCAGCCCCATTTACACATAATTACAGTTGCACGTATGGTTACATACATCATGCATACTTATCTACATATTATTAATTAGAATATGCCAGGTGTTAATGACAATCACTACGATTATACATTATATTATATCATACGATTATGGTAGGTATACTCACAGACAATATGAAAATAGTCATATATTTCATATAATCTGTGGTATACTAGAAAGGCATTTTAAACTATTTATAATTCGTACACACTATTATCGGTTGAGACTTTTATTCGTGATAGTTGTCCTCTTAAAACTATATATATCTATAGGATTACAGTTAGTGGCTGGTACGAGTTCTGGCTTTCTGTGTATGTATTTTAGGGATGAATCGGCCAAAGCAACGTTGCAAAATGCGGAAAACAGTTTTAAACACGATTTATA